ATGAGGTGTCATTCTATTTTGACACATCATCATGCTTCAGTTAATTAACAGGACACGTCATTGGATTTTTAACGGAGGGACCAAATTGGGGTAAAAATGGTAAACAGTAGGGACCAAATCAGGGATTTTTTTAGTTCAGGGACCAAATCGGGGGTCCGTACAATAGTTCAGGGACCAAAAAGGAGTTTTAACCTAAATAAAAATTGATACCCCTTAAGTTTTTTTCTTTTTAGGAATATTAAATGTTAATTTATACAATAACAATAATTCTTTCTTTTCTATGTCTTCCAACTTACACCAAAATTTTAATGCAAAAGTTCAAACTTTTAACTATTAGAATTATTAAAATGACAATCAATTTAAAACAAAAAGTTAGTCAGAAAAAGATAATACTACTTATTAAACATACAATTGTTCAACCATTTCAGAGTTTATTTAACTTTGGACAAAGATTTTTCATATTTATGAGAAGAGAATTGCCTTCGATGAAAACCTTCTAGTATTAATGACAAGAATATTAGCAGATTCTCATAGAACTAATTGGGGCAAAGGTTGTATTACCCATATTAATAATAAAAAAAGTTTCTTTGAACAGAATAAAGGGGAATATAAGTTTGAAAGCATAAAGGTATTTTAAGGGCCCTGAATTTTATTTACCAGGATGAAGTAATATTCAAAAAATACATGTTTGATTACCATTAGGAAAGAAAAACAATACATGAAAATTCATGTCATGCTGCCTCTACCCTGTCTGGTGAAAAAATCAATGCTCTTAGTTTTCAAATATCAATAAATTGAAGCAATAGGAAAGAGAAAACCTTACACTTCCCACCTCAAAATCAAAAAGACCTTTTCAATGGCTAAAACCTGAATTTATTACACAAAAATTCTGATAATTGAGCTAAACTAGTCATGTACTATACCGCTTTTTCAATTTTCTGACAGAAGACCACTGGTAAAACTGGAACCTCTGCTACAATATTACCACCATCTGCTACACTGTGCAAATCCCAGTAATAAAAGATCACTGTATCTTCCTGTTGTTAGGTACTAATTCTTCGTTTAGGAACGTACTTTAGTTTTGCACCCTTCTCAAGCTTTGTTCTGAATTTGGCTTGAGTAGCTTTTCCAGTTGAAGCCTCATGCACACCAGCATTACTTGCCCTGTTTACTGGGTGGTCTGTAATGCCAAGATTTTCACTTTTGGGCAAATCTGATGATTCAGTTTCAGCCGCAGAATTCCTTGGAGTTTCACTATCTGAAGAAAGATTCAAGATCACAGGTCCACCTTCAAGAGCTGCCTTCCACCCTACAATCAGGATGATTTTAAGAAGTCAAGTAAATTAGTGACAGGAGCATAAGAGCAAAACAGTTAATATATAAACAAGCTTCTACTTCATACTTACTCTGATCAAGAAATTCTTTTGCATTGTTCCTGTCAAATGGAAAATGGTTTTTAGCATGCTCATATTTCTCCAAGGCTAAGGATTTGTTAACAACATCATTCACATCTGCTGTTGGACAGCCTGCACTTAAGGAGGTCTTATGACTCTGATCTGCACCCTTTTCAGCAGTTACTTCTGCTTGAAATTCTCTACTGCCATTGTTAGCTGGCACTGCATTTCTGCTTCCACGACTCACTGGCCTCCAAAACTTTCCTGTTGATCGATTGCCACTATGAACAGAATCAGGTTTACTAGACTTCTCTTGAAGATTGTTCTTCTTTGGTATTTGATTTTCTGCCAGGGAACAATCTTGCGCTTTAGCAACATTAGTAGCCTCATAACGTTCACAATCAAGCGTGACAGGAATGGAACCAATCAAAACCTCGTTAGCCTTCTGTTGATCAGGTTGGTTAATCGCCTTTATATGTGCTCTGGTTTTCAAACTCTCTACATCATTCACTGGTTTAGATTTTTGGCTCCACATTTTGTTCTCACTGGTTAATCGCTTTTGCATGCCTCCAAACTTAGATGAATGAAAACTCAGACCAGCATGGGAACCATTGGAAATTCCATTCTGTAATCTTGGTGGTGCCAGCCGTCGACCACCAACTATATGCCGATGTCCACCTTGCACCATTTGTCTCTCAACATCCTGACCACGGCCTGCGTCATGCTCATCACTAGACCTCATCTGAGGGTCAAACTCAACATCCTCATCATTTTTGGAAAGCTGGACAGGTTCGACAGATGATGTAATCTCATCTAATGTCTCTAAATTTTGTCTGTCCTGATCAGATGAAGCTGAAGGGCTAGATGTTTCCACAGGAGGTACCACCTCTGATGAATCACCAATATTGTCATTAACTTCTGCTGTATCTACCTGTCTCTGTTCCCTTGCTCTCTGTTCTTTCTGCCTGAGCTTTTTCTTCCTTTTCCGTTCTAAAAGTTCTGCTTGCCTATCACCATTAAGAAAATGAACAGATTAAAATCCACAATTAGAATTCCATCATGCTAATATCAGATTCAGTCCTCAAGCAAGGAACCCTTCTTAAAAGAAAAAAATAGAGCATTAAAAGTAAATGTAAAGGTCCCTCCAAAGTCAGTCCAAGGAGTGAATTTGGTCAAAGGAATATGAAGATTCAAATACAAATTTAACAGATAAATAGAAATAACGATATGCACCTTTTCTGAGCAGCCTCTTCCTCCTCCACCAGCAACTTCTGGCATCTCAAAGCTTCAGCATCCTTGTCAGCAAGCCAGGCCTTGACCTACAGTAACCATAAATTAATTTGATCAAGAATTTCTAAAGGCAAGAATAGTGGAACTGTGAGACATCCACATGCAAAGCCATGCCACTAGCCTACCCCAGTCACAATGGTGAGAGACTTGCCATAAGAAATTAGAAATTCCCACAACAAATTGTTTAAAACTTAGTGTGCATGAAAGTTTCTGGCAAGTTAAACCATAAACAGATAATACATTAAAGAAAAAAAGAACGTACCAATTTCTGTTCCAACAGGAAGCAGGTACAAGCAATCAGGTTCTTCGTTTCAAGACCAATCTTTCCTGCTTCACCATCAAAAACATATTTTTGCATTGATACAGCCATGCCACATAGGAATGTCCTTTCACTTGCATCATCAAGGATACTGAATAACTCCTGGGAGGATATAGGAAACCTTGAAGACCTAGCTTGGATGATATCCTGCAAAGAATTAGGATATATAACTTCCATATAACAATGATATAAGGGCACCGCAGATGGAAGATAGCATGACACTTATTCACAGAAAAATGGTCCCATACCAGAAGAGCATAACCAGCTCTCAAGCAGACTTGTGGCAAAGCAGGGAATGTTGATTTCCTTACAAGTGTTGTCAATGCCTTTACAACTGAAGACCCTGGAACTTCCTGGGAGGTGAAGGAATCCATTGTTCAGAAGGACAAGAACATAAAAGGAAATACAAAGAGGCAAAGAGTAAAAAAGGATTTTTTCTTTCTTTCATTCATAAACTTAAGTTGCCAAGAATAATTCATGTAACATAGATATCTCTATTTCCAACTCACTAAGAAGTAACGAAATGTCAACAGCACGCATGTATAATATGTGACCAGCTTGAATATATACTTAGTCCCAGCATTAAACATATAGCTCTAAAAGAAAAAATATTTACCTCCAATGTACCATTCTTGAATGATACCACTTCCTTTGCCTCTTCAACAGAGAGCTGCAAACAAAATATAATGAGCATGATAGTGAAATAGAGAAATTCTAAAACAACTCAGAAGAAAATAAAAAGTGTACCTTGTCCCAGAATGCTCCCAACAGATCTCTATTATTGGCAGAATCCTAAAAGATATAAAGAACATGTTTAAGAGGAGTCCTCTAAGATTTAAACCACAATTATAAAAATTCTGCAGTAGTAAAAAACTGAACAAATCATATTTCCAAGATCGTAAGAAGACCTTATCAAGCTTTTTCAATCGATGGTGCACACGCATATGCCTCCTATAGTTAATGGGTGAACAAAATTCTCTTGAACATTTATCACACTTTTGCATCTGCACCTTCAAAGGAGTAAGCAAAGGCCACCCTGGAAGATCTGCCAGAAGGGTAAGAAAATCAAAACACATCTTCAACATCAATTAAAATATTTTCCTAAATACAATACAAAGACCTTCTAATAGACAGAGCATACATCTTCCAAGCTCAAAATTTTCCTTAGCAGTGGCCTGAGCAGAGGTAACGAGATCCTCGAGAATTTATGTAACCCCATATATTCAGTGGCATTCATTGTTCCCTTTGCAGGAGCCCTGCCCTTTTTATTACAGTGATTAGGTTCTTTTAACCCATAAACCTCAGATGCATATGAACTAAAAGAATTGCTACCCTCTAGCGATTGCTCTGACTGTCTCCATAAGTTATAAAACTAGTAAGCGTCAAAATATTTTGCAATACCTTGATGATCTAAAGCCTGAAGCAACTGAATCCATTGGACAGTGTTGTTCTCAGGCCTCTGGAAGGGAGTAAATGAATCTTTTCCCATTGTTTGTCTGAAAATTGTCTCCATAGAATCATTAGGCTCCTCTGATTTCATTGCAATATCTAGAGAATTAACAGTCTTGGGGTTTTCAGCTGGCATTTATGCACAGAGAGTTCTTGAGCCCACTGCACCAAAAGTTGATATGAGAAATATATTAAAAAGCTTAATTAGTTTGCCAATCCAACAACCACAATTGAAAAAGATGCACAAATGAAAGAAAAGAGCAACATTACTCTATTCAATCTCAAGTAAATGACTGACATACGATATTACAAAGCATGCATCAGTTCATTTGACTAAAGGAAGATCAGATGAAGCAGCATTCTAATTTGGCATGGCAATAAAGGCAAGAGAATGCATCTAAATGTTAACTAATACTTGAACACCTTTGAGAGAATGTAGAAGTTGTTGCACTTTTTAAAAATTAAAAGGGCATAAAGCTATGCTTCTCTTTTGACATACATTGGATCAGCATCTTACATATAAGATACAGTAAAACCAGGGATGCACACACAAGGTAGATATCATGTGGAGACACAGTAACCTTCACTCTCATCACACCACTTCCTTGAATACAAAAACAAGCATAGACAATTAGAGTAATCAAATCTCCATTGATTGGTCCAAATAGGGGAAAGTCTATGATCCAAAACTTACAGCTTCTGCATCATTATTCAAAATAAATATGTTCCATTATCTACACTATAGTTTATCAGATTCAGAACAGTGTATGCCTAAAATTAATGTCCCCGCCACAGCCCTCTTCCCAACAAAAACATTTAAACCCAAATTATCTGTCAGATGCCCATATTTGTAAGTATTGTTGCCTAACTAAGAAGTTTCTGGAACAATCAAACATAAAATACTGACTGTTAACTTGCTGAAGAATACATCTGTATCTCCCTGATAAACCTTACGGACATTGTGTAATCTACATTTAGGATCTGTAAGATGACATACTCTATCATTATCCCTCTCCAAAAATTACCAAAAACAATACTAAAGATACGTATATGGCATATATCTAGTTACAAAATGCAAGTGATGCTTTTCCAAGCACCTATTACTTACTAATTAAGGATATTTTCACTCTCCTAAGTCCTAACCCAATCAAAAAAAGATAACAAGGATATTACATGGTATGCCCAAAATAGCTATGTTCATTTATCCATGCAGCAGTTAGCAAGGACATGTGGAAAAGCATTATTCATAAGCCTGGACTTTGATTACATGGATATGAGAGTAAAGTATACATGCACTTGTTCTAAAGAAGAATTCTAACTGACTTTATCCCTTAGTGCACAGACCATGATAAGAAAAGAAGAAATCTTGTGCCAACAAGGCCAGCAAACAACAGCTGTATTACCGATGGCAACCATTTCAAGATAATAACTCAACAAACGAATCTCTTCAACGTTCTATAGAAAATAAACTCCTCATAAACAAGTTAAATGCTTAATCTTGAAAAGCCAAAACATGAATAGAATCCTAAACTCTAAAAACACTGTACAACTACACAAAAAAAAAAAAAAAAGCACAGATCAAATAAAAAAAAAAAAAACATAGAAAGAAAATTTCACAAGTAAAACATCCCTTGAATTCTGTCCGGTTTCTAGGATTAAAAGATTAATTCCCTGAACATCTACTGTCTTAGAACGTTGTTCCACCAAACCAAACACAACATTGAGCTTAACTTGGGCGATTTTCAATTTTTAAAAAACATAAAAATCAAATTCTGATCTAATGCAATATATCTATAACGTTTCTCAGTTTCCAAACCGAGCTAGAATCAAATTCCACAGAAAATTAAAAACTGAAAT